CTGGTTGGGCAGGGGCATCCGGTCCCCGGCTCTATACCCCAGGTGGGCCCCCGAGGCACTGGTGGTGTGCCTGGTTGTGGGCAGGGTCTGGTCCCTGGCTGGATGCCTCAGGGTCCCATACAGGGCCCCATGCAGGGCCCCAAGGTGCTGGCAGTGTGCCTAGGCCAGAACTAATTTTTTGTCCTTTGCTTACTTCTAAAACAGGGGAACTTCCTGTGGGAACCAGTACTTGAGCTGTGTGGTTGAGCTAAATTGCTGCTTTGCTGCTATTTCTCTAGGGAAGGCTTTTTATGCAGCTCAGGGTTGAATAGCTGCCTTTTAGGTACTTCTGGCTTTCCTGGGTTGTGTAGAAACTCTGATCTGGGCCTGAGTTTCTTCATCAAACTACACCCCATGCAATTCTGCATTCCCGACCAGTCTCCTCTGAGTGGTCCTGTGCTGATTGGGGGTCAGATCAGCTGTCCTTGCTGTGTGTGTCCCAGTGTTCTCCCAGTGGGCCAATCTCCCCAACCGCCCATGCTCCAAACACTTCGCATGGGATGGGTGTGCACTGGTCCCTTGCGATGACTCACCAGCCTCTGAATGGCTCCCCTTTTTCAGCTCTTCTGGCTCCTTGCTCCTGCCTGGGTCCACGGGAACCCTATTAGTGGTCTTGCTGTCCTGGGGGCCACCAAGGCCCTCTTCTCCCCTGCTGCCTCCAAGTAACTCCATCCAAAGGGCGCAGCTGCAGTTTCTGCCAGCTCCTGCTGCATGTGCTCAGCAGCTCCAGCCTTAAAGTGCCCATGACCCAAAACGTTCCAAGCAGTTTTTTTCTTTCTGTCATTGTGGTTTCTCCCACCTTCATGAACTCCATAGGTTTCTCCTCCTCTTCCCCTGAGCTCTAGCCGTCCCAGCTTGGCTGTTGTTACATCTTTATAGTTGCAAATTGGTTGATTTGTGGGAGAGAATGCTGCTGAGAACCATTTATTCTGTCATCTTGACTGGAACCCAAAGTAAATCTTCTGTTGACATTTTTGTATATATTTGTTCTTCTTCTATTGTGTGTTTTTTTTTTTTTTTTTTTAAAGATGACTGGTAAGGGGATCTTAACCCTTGGCTTGGTGTTGTCAGCACCATGCTCACCCAGTGAGCTAACCAGCCATCCCTAAATGGGATCCGAACCCTTGGCCTTAGTGTTATCAGCACCACACTCTCCCAAGTGAGCCACAGGCCGGCCCCCTTGTATTGTGTTTTGATATCAATTACAAATTTTGTATCTCTGCCATGGGCCTTTAAAGTTTTAGTCTGCACTTGTCCAGTCACCAAATATTTTACAAGTAGACTTAACACCAGTGCTCAGGAATGGCACTAACTAGGGCCGGCCCGTGGCTCACTCGGGAGAGTGCGGTGCTGATAACACCAAGGCCATGGGTTCGGATCCCATATAGGGATGGCCGGTTAGCTCACTTCAGAGAGCTTGGTGCTGACAACACCAAGTCAAGGGTTAAGATCCCCTTACCGGTCATCTTTTTTAAAAAAAAAAAAAAAAAAAAAAAAAGGAACGGCACTAACTAATTGCCAGTCAAGGTTCAGACACATGCAAATGTATGATCTGCTCTGTATAATTGTGGGACAATAACACAGTCCACAACTTACATTGATAGTATGATGTATAAAATTTTTGGCATTTGAAGAGATTTTAGAAGTTTCCTATCCACCTTATAAAAGGGTACTTCAAAAAGTTCATGGAAAATAGAATTAAAAGATAATGTGAATCTTTCTGTGAACTTTTTGAAGTACCCTTAGATATGTGATAAATAATACAAGTTATTATTAGATATTGGTAGTGCTTTAACTTTGAAAGAAAATGATCTTACTACCTCTTTTTCAAGTTTATTGTAGTTTAATTGAAGACTATCTGGACATTGCAACAGAAGCTTTTAAAAAAATTTTATTATCTGCAGTTTTTTAATATGAACAAAGCAGAATTTTTACTGAGTAACCAGAATAAAATGCAGACATTATTTGGATGCTGAAGCTAAATGAGATACAATTATAACTCCATTTTCAAATATTTTTGTTCAGTAGTACAGCCTCATTGTTCTCATTGGCTGGCTTTATAATATATAAATATTTATTCTATAAATATAATTTATTATAAATATTATAAATATGAAATTATACTGATCAAATGCTTCTTTTCTTTTTAAATATTGTCTAGGTTTGTATAAGATTTAATTGCCAAAAAGAAAGTTGCACAAGTTGTATCCACACTTGATTTTTATCCAGCCTAAGTCATATTGCTTGTCAAAATTGATTTCATTAAAGATTGCTTGTAGGCTTAGGCGGAAGGCGGGGCCATCACCCTTTAACAATATATAATTACAACACATTCTTTTTAAAGTGACACTTGTTTGCAGAACTGAATTACCTTGGATTCTTAGGTAAGGAAGAGTTTGAATTCTCATACCTCAAGTTTTTCTTTGCTTCTTTTACATGATTGTGTGAGATTCAGAAATATAAGTAAAGTAAAATAAAAGACGCTTTATAAATAAGTATGTTGACTCCACGTTTCGCAGTTGTACTTTACTTGAGGTGTTCTAGAGTTGTAGTTACATTTTTTTTTAAATTTTTATAGACTGTGCTTGAGTTTCATATCTGCTTGAATTGTCATTAATTTTGTGGCTAATCAAACTCCGAAGATGTTGTTTACTTGAAGTCAAGAATTTATGTGTTGAGTAGATTTAATAACTTCATAGTTAATAACTTCAAATTCTCTTCTGGTGAAGGTATTAAATTTGGCCAGTGTCTTCATAGTCACTGCTCTAATTAAATATTGTGTATAACAGCTAAATCTAATATTGTTTCTAACACATTATAAATGTCAGAAGACTTTTATAAATATACTGTGTTTTGTGGTAGTTTTGGAGACTGGGCTACAGTGACATTTATTAGTGACTAAAAATCAATTCATTAGAAAAGGTGAGATGATACTTTTATATATTGAATCAGTAGATATATTTTGAATGGAGAGGGGCCCCTACTTTTTAAGAGATTTTTTGTTTTTCTAAGTATTCTTATTTAAGAAAATCAATTTTGGACTTTTGGTTAAACTTGGAGGTTAGAACATATAAGTTTATTTCTTCTTCCTCCCTAAATTCATGAAATTGACAGTAAAAGTAATGAAGGCATAAACAAAGAGTAGAATAGGCAACATAACATCAGCCTAGAGAAGTGAAATGTTAGAAAGCAAATGGATAAATTATAACCAACTTAGCAGAGCAGAGCAGTTTTGAAGGAACATAATAGTTGATCATAATATTGAACTACAATTTATTTTACCATTCCCTAATGTTGAGTCATATATATAATTTTTAGTATCTGTATCATGGTTTATCATAATTTACTTAAATATTTGTCCATTAATGACCATTTAGGTTCCTCACCATTTCACTCTTATAAATAGCATCGTATTGCAACAGTCTTAAAAAAAATATTTTGGATCATTTTTTTTTTTAGATTTGATTCCCCAAAAGGACTGAATCAGAATTTGTGCCTTTTATGGGTATTGACCCATGCTGCAGGTTGCTTTCCAAAGGCCATTTTCATTATTACCATCAGTGTGTGAAATTATCTGTTTATTTACCCAGCATTGTATCTGCCATAAGTTGTTAAGTCTGGGGAGCGACAGGTGGTGCTTTCAGTGAGTTTCTTGATACTGGAGCTGTGGGAGAGTGAGGCATGACATGAGTAACAAGTTTTACCAGATAAAGATTAGCTGGCTACTTTTATCACTGCCACCTTATGATAAAGGCAGGTGCTGTGAATTTAGAGGAAAAAGAGGTTTCCTTTACCTGGGGTGCTCAAGAAAGGCTCCTGTAGGAAGTAGAATTTGAGCTGTGTGTAAGGTGGGAAAAATTTACAGAGAAAAATTAGCATAGACACATGAGGGGTATATCAGTCTGGATCAAATCAGGAGACAGAAACCACACAGTCACATAAATGGTTGGTTTAACATTTATGAACATAAAGAACATTAAGTTATGATGGGGGAAAACTATAAAGTTACTGTATAAAGAGAACTCTGAAAGTTACCCTAGGACTAAGGGAAAGTACCCAAGGAAAGACAGAATTGAAAGGAGGTTTCAGACCTCATTGAAGGTGTGGCTGTAGCTCATTGGATGATGGAGAAATTTGCTGTGTTGCCTGTGCTAAAGCTGGTGCACAGTCACTATGTCAGCATGTGAGCCAACACTGGTGGGAGGGCGTGCAGGGGGAATCAGGGTGTTGTTGCAGGTGCAAGGCCTGGAGCACATGGTGTCTGTGTTGGGAGGGCTGCAGCAACAGCCCTAGGCTCCCAGGTGAGTTGAGGCTGGTAAGTGGGTATAGAGGGAGTTGGAGCACAACTTCAGGTACTGCTGAAATTGGAAGTTGGAGTGGCCTCCCAGTGCAGCAAAGTAGAGCACGATTGTGTACAGCTTGGGGCAGAGCAGTTCCAGGCTGCTCTGTGGGAGAAAGGTCAGGTGGCTGGCTGACACTATAGAAAGACTGTAAAGGAGTTCACTATCCCTCTTATTGTTCTGGGGAGAATGCAAGGGCAAGCCATAACCTCTGCATTTTTCACCAGTCTTCACCAGGTGAAAGGGAGAGGGACCTGTCTCAATGGTAAAGCACAGAGCCATAAGAGAATTCCAGCAGAAGGAAAGTGGAAGTTATTGTCATTTTAGACAGGACAGGAGAGCTGCAGGACAGGATGATGTGATTTTGATTTAAATCCCTCTATCATCTGTTATTTTGCCAAAGTCGTATCTCCCCATGTCTAACTACCCTTGTGGTTTGTTTTAATTTGCTTTCAATCCTATAATCCATAATAGCTGAATAGTCTTATGTCTCCCATATGTCCTTGTGGCATTTCCTTCTAGGTATATTGAAATTTGCCTTTTTTATATTTGAATATTGTCTTTGGCTCAAGGTTTTACATTTTACTGACTCTTCATATTGCTTTTCTCACCTATATAGAAATGGACTCAGAAATCAAGGAAGAAATTCCTGTGCATGAGGAATTCATTTTGTGTGGTGGAGTTGAAACCCAGGTTTTGAAATGTGGGCCCTGGACTGACCTCTTTAATGATCAAAGTGTCAACAGGCCTAAGCTGCTTATTTTCATTATTCCTGGTAAGTATAAAAGTCTAGATGAGGAGACTTTGTACAGATATGCATAAGTATTTCTGATTTTAAAAGTACTATTATGGGTTAACTACAGAGAATTTGGTAAATATAGAAAACCTGATGGAATGAAAATCACTCGGTCTATTGATAACAGCCACCCTTAATACTTGGGTGGCTGGGCTTTTTGTTTTTTTCTATGCATTTACATTATGTATATGTTGTCTATTATATATGTGTATATATATATTCATGGGTCACAATTGGAAGTATATCATACATGCAGTTTTTAATCTGATTGTATTTCTTAATATTTATAACTTTTGGGGTTTTTTTTTTTTTGCTGGCTGGTGCAAGGATCAAACCTCAGACGTTGGTGTTATCAGTACCATGCTCTACCAACTGAGCTATCTGGCCAGCTATTACATCATATTTAGAATTTTTTTTTTTTTTTTTTTTTTTTCAGTTTTCTAAACTTTGTTCTGCCTTATTTCAAGATAACTATATGTTTATTATAGAATGTTTGTTTATTCTGGGATTTGACAACTGGGTTGCTTGTGACTTTTGCTAGATCACTGTCAATAGAACATTAGGGGTAGATGCTTGATTTATTGCAGGTATTCAAAGTGCTTTTTAAATTGTTTGGACATATATCTTTGTAATTCACTTGAGGTTCTTATTCTGTGAACTGCTAGTTTGAAATCCGTGCCCATTTTTCAATTGTGTTATCAATGTTTTTCTTATTGATTTGTAAAAGCTCTTTATTTTATTTGATTTATTTTTGATTGGTTATGAATATTCATAGGGTACAAAGCTGACCATCACCACTCATGCCCAATATGTAATAGCCAGAACAATACTGGCAGCATGCCCATTACAACAAATTGCAATTATACTCCACGTCCCCCACCCAATTAATCCTTGACCTACCTCCCCATACCCCTTTCCCCCATTCCACTTTGTATCCCTAGATATGCTCTCTCCCTCTGCAGTTCAACACACCACTGTGTTCTTTCTTTCCTTCCTTCTTTCTCTCTTAGCTCCCACTTATAAGTGAGGACATGCGGTATTTTGCCCTCTGTGCTTTGCTTGTTTCACTCAACATAAGTTTCTCTAAGCTCATCCATGTCGTTGCGAATGGCAGAGAGCATGGTGCTGATAACACCAAGGTAAAGGGTTTGGATCTCTTTACAGGTCAGCAGCCAAAAAAGGAAAAGAAATAGCTCCTTATTTTAAAGTAAAGTTGTGATTTGCCTGTCATGCATGGCAAGAATCTTTCCTGGTTTGTCTTTTGACTTTATTTACAATATTTATTTGGTTCTACAGAAAGTTTCATTGTTATGTGGTCAAAATTATCAGTCTCTTTATTTAAGACTTCTGGGTGTTATTACTTTCTTAAAAGGCCTTCCCTACTCCAAGATTATAAAACAATTTTACCATGTCTTCTATGTTTTTACAGTTTGATTTGTAATTTTTTAAGTCTGTCACATCTATAATTTAAGGGCAGGGACTGAGGAAGGGCTCTAGTGATCTCCCCCCTCTTCTTAGATAGCCTACTACTTGGCCATAACCTTTTATTATATAATCTTTCTTTTCCCTATTGGTTTGCAGGGCTAACTTTATTTTATTTCTTTTTATTTATTTATTTTTTATTTTTATTTTTTTTGTGGCTGGCCAGTAAGGGGATCCAAATCCTTGACCTTGATGTTGCACAGCTGCCATCCTGGAGATTCATCTCACTTTCTGCTGGTTTGAACTCCCCTTTTTCCTAGATTCCATATTTTCCTCTTTCTTGGTTTACTCCCTTGTTTTTGGTGGAGCACATCTTCTAGTAGCTTCCTGAGAAGAGGTGCAAGGGAAGTCATCTTCTAAAGATATAGCATGTCAGAAAATGTCTTAGACTTCTAGATTGGAAATAATTTTTCCTTAGAATTTGGAGGGTGTTAACTAACCCTGGAGGGTGTTCCAGGGTTCAGATCTGCTTATGAGAAGTCTTGGTATCATTCTGATTTTGGATCTTTTGTATGTGAAGCTTCCCCTAGTCCCCCACCCCAGTTTTGAGACCTTGTCTTTGTTCTAAGATTCTGAAATTTTACAATGAAGCACCTTGGTGTGGATATTTTTTCATACATTGCCCTTGAGTTTTTTTTTTTTTTCAAAAAGATGACCGGTAAGGGGATCTCAACCCTTGGCTTGGTGTTGTCAGCACCACGCTCAGCCAGTGAGCAAACCGGCCATCCCTATATGGGATCCGAACCCGTGGCCTTGGTGTTATCAGCACCGCACTCTACCGAGTGAGCCACGGGCCGGCCCTTGCCCTTGAGTTTTGTTGGGCTCTTTTAAACCAGAAACTCATATACTTCAGTAAACTTCGTATACTTCAATTCTAAGAGTTCTTTTTTCTCTTTTTTCTTTTTTGATAGTCTCCTGTTTCATAGATGCAATATAATTTTCTTTGTCTTGTTTTCACTGGGTTCCTTTTTCTGTTTGTTTGTATTAGTGTTTATTTTTCCTCACATGTCTGGTAATCCTTGACTACCCAAATCATTTGTAAGAGGAAGACACAAAAAACTGATTGGAAGTTTTGTATTTAGGGTGAGGCTTGTCCACTGGTGTCTTTCCAAGACACATGACTTTCTGTACTAAAACTGAGACAGTCTTGGGCAAAGTAGGATGTTTGAGTCTTACCCTAGGGTGATTGGGTAGGGACCCAGCATTTTATTGGGGGATTTCCATCTTTCAGTATTTGAAGCTCTTTCTCAGATTGTTCAGTTTTCCCAGGAAGGAATGCTCCAGTCTCCTGTTTGAAGAGTGTAAGCTTGTCTGCTAATGTTCAGAGCTGAACAGGGGAAAGGAGGTTGGAGTTTCATTGTTTAGTTCACGTAATCTAACCTCTTCTTGGTATGGTACTTCCATTCTCAGCTGGGCTAAGATTCCTAATCCAGAATCTTTCTTTGATTTAACCTTTTCTGGGAATAAATTTCCAGTCTTCTGTTAGGATATAACAGTCTTTTTGGAAATCAGTCTGGCAACATCTCTTGAAAGTAAATATATATATGCTCTGCCAACAATAAGGTAGAGTTTAAAATTATCGTCAAGACAAGTGCTATTTTATGGAACAGATTTGGAGTCCATGGGTTAGGATAGGCTAGAGAAAATAGGTAGAAACATTATCTTGGACTGGAGAAGGGATATCCTGAGGCTGGAAGGCAGGAGGTGAATTGGTTACTAAAAAACGGAGGTGTGTGAAGGCATATCAGAGGGAAATGAAATAGTTTCTGCCTCCTGACTTCCACTTTCTCTGTTAAGAGTTGAGGTCATTTGTTGAGAGTGCCCATTGTGGAAGGTGAGTAGGGGCCTCAAGGAACGTGGTCAGTGTTTAGAATAGCAGATATGTGCAATGAAAGGAATTGTTTATCAAAAACCATGCAGTTAGCTCAGTTTGTTAGAGCACAGTGTTACAACTCAAAGGCCAAGAGTTCGGATCCCTTTACTGGTAGGCTGCCAAAAAAAACCCAAAACAAAACAGAACAAGCAGATGGATTTTTGAGCAGCTCTATGATTTAATAGCAGGTGTATTGGTAGTGAGGTCTGAAAGGGCAGAAGATTGAGCTGGCAAAGATGTATCGGAGTTAGGATGTTAGCCATTTCTGGCTAACAGTTGATGTCAGGACCAGGAGTATTCCTTGAGAACTTGTGAGAAGTGCAATTTCATGGGCCCTATCCCTGACGTTCTGAACTAGAAAGTCTGGGCATAGGGAAATCTGTGTCTTAACAAGCCCTCCAGGGGATCATGATATCCACACCTGATCTAGGGTGTGGCCATGGGAATTGGTTGCTTAAGATTCGTGTAAGTGAAATTCTTTCGATTTGATCACAGTAATGAATTATGGGACAAAGGTTTTGGCTTAATCAATCCAACTGGATTTTGAAATCTCCTAAGACATGGCAAGTGAAACTCTTTTAAGGGGTCAGGGTTTTCAGGGAATATGTGAGTAACTAAAATGTTGATAGATGAGAGTACATGGCTTGAGTCTTAAAGAGGAAGTGGTTGTTACAGTAAGGTGAAATAGTAACTGGAGCAGACAGCCCACTTTACTTCCCCACCTAGAGGTATTCATTTATCCTAGGTGCTAAGAATAGTCTTTGCTCTCATTGAAAATAGTGAGTGAGGCATCTATTGAAGAGGCTTGAAAGGAAGAGAGTCCAACACAGGGGAGAGGCAGGTTTGAGATATGGTGAGGAGATGAAGGGAGCATTCAGTGAAGATGCTGCAGATGGAGGGAAGCTTAAAACATTTGTTGGTTTATAGTCTCATTGTTTATGGTGCTTTGATGTTTTCAGATCACATTTCCATTCTTAGAGTTCTTTCATGTTTGCCCTTCTATTCTCATTGCTGCACTTGTCCCTTTTTCCTTGAATGCCTGAGAGCTGTAGGTTGGTGCTGCTCATTAGTTTGTGGAATTCAACAAATTGTATTTGTTTTTCAGCCTAGTCTATTTGTGCTGTGGGGAAAATTGGGATGATAGTATTTCAAGGATAGATAAGCCACTATATACACCATGTTATGTTCATCTCTTATACACTGACATAACATTTCATTTTAAATCACTTTGCTTTTGCAGCTAGCAAAATTAACTCTTCACTTTTAAGTTAGTAATGGTAATGAGGTGTGATTTATTGGAATCCACAGATTGAAGAACTAACTTTTAATTTACTTTTATCTTTCCAATGAACTTTAGATTTAGAATTTCTAAGCAACATCCTCCTTAGACTTTCTTTAAGTAGTGAAATGAGCAAAGGGAGGCAATTTGAGAACTCGCTATAGAACATACAGAATCATAATTCTCAGGTGATCATATGGGGATAATAGAATCGTGAAGTATCTCGTGCTGACAGCACAGTGGTCATTGCTGGGCTGGTTGCAGTTGTTGGGGACAGGGGACATGCCCAAGGCCCCCCACCACCCTGGTTTGGGAGAGCCCAGGGCACTTCCTGCAGCAGATCGGTGATTGTCACTGGCTGGTTGTGGGTGTTGGTGGGGCATGGCTAAAGCCCTTGGCCCCAAACTTGGGACTGGTTTGACTGTTGCGGGGCATGGCTGAGGCCCCCAGCCCTACCCTTTCTCTGGTTTGATAGCCCAGGGGACTTCTGGTTCTTCTAGGTTTTATAGCTGTTCTTTGGTGATGTGAGACTTTTACTAGTTAATATCAAACTTTTTCTCTGGTCTGTGGGTATTTTCTTTTTTTCTTTCAGTGTGTGTTGGATTATTTGCTGTTCCTATCACTTAAACCAGTTGGCCATCCTTTGCCTGCTTCTAAAATGGGGGAATTTCCTGTGGGGACCAGCACTTGAGCCCTGTAGTTGAGCTTAATTGTTGCTTTGCTACTGATTCCCTGGGGAAGGCTTTTTGTGCAGCTCAGGTTTTAATGGTTGACTTTATAGGTACTTCCAGGACGCATGAGATCCAGTTCACCTGGATTATGTAGAAACTCTGGTCTGGCCCTGAGTCTTTTCAGCAGACTGCACCCCCTGCAGTTCTATATTCCTGAACAGTCTCCCCTGAGTGGTCCTACACTGATTGGGGGGCAGATCAGCTGTCCTTGCTGTGCCCCATTGTTCTCCCGGTTGGCCTGTCTCCCCCACCACCCTTGTTCCGAACACTTCCCATGGGACAGGCTGTGCCACAGTCCCTTGTGGTGACTCACTAGCCTCTGTGTGACTCCTTTTTTTCAGTTGTTGTGGCTCCTCACTCCTATGTGGGTTCATGGGAACCCTATTTGTAGTCTTGCTGGCTTGGGGGTCACCAATGCCCTCTTCTACTCTGCTGCCTCCAAGAGGGCACAGCTGTGGCTTTTGTCAGCTCCTGCTCCATGTGCTCACCAGCTCCAGCCTTAAAGTGGCTGGGGTTCGAAATGGGTGGAGCAGTTCTTTCTTTCTCTCATCGTGGCTTCTACCACCTTCATGAACTCCATAGATCTTTCCTCCTCTACTCCTGAGCTCTAGCAGCCCCAGCGTGGCTATCATTGTTTTTTTAATAGTTGTAAATTGGTTGATCTGTGGGAGAGAGTGATGCTGCGGACCATCTGTTCTACCATCTTGGTTTTGTTCCTGTGTATCTTATTATGACAATGCACTTTCATAAAACAGTAGTTTCATATTTTCTCTAGAGAGACTACAAAGATAATTCAATCTGTCTTTTAGCATACTTGAATGAGTGAGTTTTTTTAATATTCATACTTGGGTTACATAAAATATACAACTTCATGCATAGATGTATGCTACTTATAGTACTGCAATAAGTTAACCTACAGATTCAGGAATTCTGATTCATTTCATTTCATGCAGTTCCTGTCATTGTAAGGTTCATCTATAATTATACATGCTACATTGTTAGGTATGATCCTGACAGGAGAAAATTTCCATTTTTTTCCCTGCATCTATTAAGAGGATCATATGTTTTTCTTTTCAGTTTGTTAATATGGCAGATAACATTCATTAATTTTTGAACGTTAAACCAATCCTGTATTCCTGCAATAAATCCCACTTCATCATGATGTATTGTTCTTTTGATGTTTTGATGGATTCAATTTACTAGAATTTTATAGTTTCTGGAAGAGTTCATGTAGATTTGATATTACTTCTAACTTATCGTTCAGTAGAATTCACCAGTGAAGCCATATGGACCTGGATTTTCTTTGTGAGAGAGTTTTTGACTAAAATTTCAATTTCTTTATTCGATATAGGGCTATTCAGTTTAAATGTTTCTTTTTGAGTGGGATTTGATAGTTTGTCCATTTCATCTATGTTGCCAAATTTATTGCTATAAAAGCTTTCATATTTCCTAATTATTCTTTTAATACAGAAAAATGTTTTTTAATTATACATATCTGTGAGGTACAGAGTTGAATATCAAAACCTGTGTACAATGTGTGATGATCAAATTAGGATAATTAGCATGTTTATCATTACAAAATGTAATCATTCCTTGTGTCTATTAACCAATTTCTCACTAACCCTCCTTCCCCTTTCCCACTTCTAGAAACCACAGTTCTCTTCTATCCTTCTGAAAGTTCAACCTATTATTATGATTTTCTTTCTTCCTTTCTCTTTCTTTCTTTTTTCCTTTTATTTTATTTATTTATTAAAATTTAAATCTGATAATGCCTTAACTCTGCTTAAATACTTCCAGTATTACTTAGATTAATCTAAGTCAAATTTTCTATCATGGTCCACAAAATACTGCATAATTGTATTTCTCCTTTACAACCTCATCTCATACAAACTTCTATATCCTTCATTATACTTTAGCCACTCTAATATATTGCATGTAAAGAGAGGAACCAAGCATCGTGGACTCTGTTTCTTCAAGAACCAATCTGTTTATTTCTTGAGGGCTTTTTTTTCCTCCTTTTATCTTTTTTCTTTTCTTTTATTAAAAAATAATTGATTAAACATTTGTGGGGTACAGAGTTGAATATCAATACCTGCGTATAATGTGTGATGATCAAATTAGGATAATTAGTATGTTCATCATTACAAAATATAATCATTCCCAAAGAGATTTTTAAAAACTGAAATTACTGAAAAGAATCCTAAAGTTTATGAGACCAGGCTAGAAAATTCAGAAAAAGAAAAATAAAGAGAAGGGATTTGTCCTACCAGTTGCCAAAACAAACAAAAAAAGTAATAATTAAGATAGTATGATACTGGCAGAGGAGGAAAGGAAAAAAATTAATGGAATTATTTGGAATCAGAAATAGTGAACTAATGTAAGAATTTAGTACTAGTTCAGAAGACATTTCAAATCAATGTAGAAAGAATAGATCAGATAATAAATGGTCTTGGGCCACTTGGCTAGTCAATTGGAAAGAAGTTGGATTGGTACTTTCTACTTTCTACTACTAAAAAATATTCCAAACTTATTGAACATTTAAATATAAAACGTCAAACGGTGCCATCCACAGCCACTGTAGATGTTACAGCCCCAGTGCTGGTACACCCCTCCTCCCTTCTTTCTCCCTTAGCTGCACAGTGGCCAATAAGCTAACCAAAGAGCATATTACTGCATTTGAAGAAGTTTTCACCCTGTTTGACAAAGATGACAGTAGCATCATCACAAAAAGTAATTTGGAACTTGGATCACTAGGTCAGAACACAAGAGAAGTAAAATGACAATGTGGGTGATAAGGCTACTAAATGTTACTATTATAGTGAAGACGGCAGTGATTGTTTATATCAGTCCATCAGAACCATGACATAATTGCAAAGAGCAGAAAACCTAAGAGCTTGAAGAAATAGATAAATATACTGGGGAAACAGATGTTGATGGAAATGCACTAGTAACTATGAAGACTTCACACAGATGATGATTGCAGGATGAAAACCCCATTTCACTGTCATTATTCCCTACAGATATGTCAGATTGAACCTTTTTTTTTAAGATCATTTATTCTGTTTCTTTATAGTGAATCTTTGTCAAAAATATCTTCTGTACACATACAAGAAAGATCTACATGTATTAGTTGATGGTCTTTTCCCCGAAAGATCAAACTACACATCTGTTTACAGTATAAGTACTTGGATAAATGACAAGGAAACACTTAGTAGACTCTTTAAAGTTCTCTTTGTGCACAATTCTTACACTGAGTTGGCTGGCCTATTTTTCTAGTTTTCATGCAGCTGGATAACAGAGCATAGTTAAATCTTGAAGGGCCTTATAGGCAGTATTAATGACTTCAGATTTTATCCGATGACAAGGGGAAACCACTGAAGGATGTTTTAAATAGGGTATTGCTATAATTTGATTTGAGGTTTGAAGGTATCCCTCTCTGGGTACTCTGAATAATGGATTTCAAGGGGACAAGAGTAGAGAGAAGACCTGTTAGGTAGGAAACCTAGTGGAAGTAATAATCACTAATGGACAGAAGTGGACAAATTTGAGTTGTATTTTGGAAGCTAACTTGACAGAACTTATTGGTGAATTGGATGTGAAAGATAGGGAAAAACTAAGAATGACTCCTAGTGTCTGGACCTGAGCATTTGGCTTATGATTGGTGGTCCTGTTTAGTAGACTGAGCAACAGGGAGGAAGAACTTATTTGAAACATTGGGAGAACAAAGCAGAAACAGAAATTTTCTGAGTGGCCATTCCCAGCCCTAAGGTAGAAATGGTATCAAAATTAAGGTATATGTGTAAACTGTCACCAAATTTGTAGAGGAAAATGTGAGGAGAAATAGACCCTTCTTTTCTAGTCTGCATGTCATCTTTTGTGAGTTTATTGCTTTGATTAATCTAAGGTCTATGTTTCTTTTCTTAGGTAACCCAGGTATATCTGTCTTCTACGTGCCATTTTTAAAGGCTTTGTACTCTTTGACAAACAGACGCTTTCCAGTTTGGATTATCAGTCATGCTGGGCATGCCTTGGCCCCCAAAGACAAGAAGATTCTTACAACTTTGGCGGGTAAGTCCTTGTTAACATCTACTTTTCAATGAGTGGGTGTTTGTATCTCTAGTAAGCCTAGCAAGGTTAAGGGTTACAGCAATGAAAACCTCTGCTTGTGGTGTTAGGCCCATCGTGCCACATTCTAGTGACTTTAGGGTTTTTAAGAGACACTTTAACTCTTCTGCAGGTAATTTTCTACAAGAATTTGGGTAAAGCAAACAATCTATGACTTGACTTCTTTTTTTACCAATTAGTAATCAATGGTGTATATATATGAGGGGTCTTCAAAAAGTTCATGGAAAGATTCATATTATCTTTTAATTCTATTTTTTCATGAACTTTTTGAAGTACCCTCGTATATACTGGTTATGTATTATTTTTCCAGGGTTGTACTAGGAGAAATGGTAGAGCAAAAGTATTATAAGCCATGGTCTTTACCAGCTTTCTCACGTTTAGAGAATGATTAGGTGACAAACTCTGGCCCTGCTGATCATGTGGATACCTAAGGAATAAACAAAGGAGAGAACACAGTATGGTTTAGAAAAGACTTTGTGGAGTAGGTGAGTGTCTTGATCAGTTTAGGCTGCTATAGCAGAATGCCATAGACCGGGTAACTTAAACACAGCAGAAATTTATTTTTCATAGTTTCTCAAGGCCAGGAAGTCCAAGATCAAGGTGCTGGCAAATTCTGTGTCTGTTGAGGACCTACTTCCTGGTTCATAGGCGGCTCTCTTCTTTCTGTATCCTCTCATGGTAGAGAGAGGAAGCAAGCTCTCTTGCTCTTGGGACTCTTAAAAAGGGCAGCAGTGCCATTCATAAGGGCACTACCCTCATGACCCCAACTAATCCTAATTATTCCCAAAGACCCCACCTCCTAATACCACACATTTGGGGATAAGGTTTCAACATATGAATTTGGGGGGATGATTTTGACAGTTGAGCAGGATTTGGATTTGGGGTGTGGAGGCAGGTGCAGAGGTATAACAAGCAGAAGCAGTAGCACAGAAAGGAAGGAGATTTAGTAGGTATGTTACTGCTATGCAGCGCCAGTTTGAGAGGTACCTTGAAAACTCGGGAGAGTGCTAGGACTCCATGTGGTAGATAGCTGGTAGGCTTTTAAATGGAGGAAATAATATCACAGAGATGCAAACTACCTGCTTTCAATTTATGAGAATTCTAGCATGTTCACCCTTCTCCAAAATAAAAAATGAGAGGAAGAAAGAAAAATATAACTTAAATTTTCTATAGGTGTTCCATTCAAAGGGCTTTTTGTCCTAAGGGGTTCCCCTTAATTAATTTGAGTTGGGAGAGAGGTAGCTGCGGCTTCATTGCCTAATTTGCTCCAGGTTCTTATATGTCTCTCCTGTGGTATGACTTTGTGTACTTATTGAGCTTCTAAGTTTTAAACATATAGTACTATAAAGTTATTTTTACATATATACTCATATATTCATGATTCCTTTAGACATTGATGTATAAGTTAGAATACACATAAACCTGTACTCTATGAATGATCTGATATTCAAGGCTACCTTTGATTATATTTATTTTTAACTGTGTACTCTGACTTCAACTTCTTGTTAGAAGTTGAATAGACCATGCTCGGCTTGCCCTCTTCACTAAACAAATGACTTGAAAGTCCAAAAGTTGATGCAAGGATTGGAAGGTTTATTCAGATTACAGGTACTCAACTAAATGTCTAACTAAGCAAACAAAGAGAAAAGAGGAGCAATGGGGTCCATTTTATCCTAGTCCCAATCGGCAGAGCCAGCCTATTCTGCTGACACAGTAATTGATAAAAGCAGCTCTCTACACTGTTGTTGACACAGAAAAGTACTGACTAGATTTAAATCAGAGAAAGAAAGCATAGCCAGGAGCCCTCCAGGGTGCAGCTATACAGAACAGCAGAAGAGGGCTCAGAAAATCAGAAACAGCATAGCTGGGAGCCCTCCAGGGTGCACCTACATAGTAGCAGATACAGTCCAACCAAACAGCAGAAAAGGGGTCAGAAAATCAGAGAAAGGTAAAGAGAATTTTAGGGGCTTCTGGACTTCCAGTCGCTGCATGGCGTGGGAGTGAATCCCCACACTCTCATGAATCCCCTATCGGGGGAACCTGCTCAAGCAAGATCTTCACGGTGTAAGACTGGCCTTCCCTTCTCTGCTAGTTACCTGTCAGGGCAAGCCACTGCCGACCAGAGGGAGCATGCGTCTCACAGGTTAAGAGGAGTTTAAGCTGTAGTTGTCTAGCAGTCACTTTAAAGAGGAAGGGGGGGGGGCGAGGAGTAAAAGAGAATAAAGCATTGCCTTGTCAGAATTTAGTCTGGGGACTCCAGGAGAGACTTACCAGCAGTAGAGACATGGGAGCAAAATAGTCCCAGTGGCCACTTGCCTCTTGCAGCTGGAGCCTTCTCTGGTGCCCAAAGCTTTCCAATTTTCACCAGTGACTGAATTAGGCTCTTGGATTCCAAAGTCATAGAAATGACAGTGTACCCAGCAGTAAAGCAAGCAATGCTTTATTAAAAGAAGAGATAGACTTATGCATAAAGGGGGGTAGCAACAGTAAAGCTAGTCCTCCGAGAGGAGCTGCTCAGGGTCTTTTATCGGGAAAGGAGTTAAGCTGAACAGACAGTGTCACTGGAGGTGGCCCATTATGTTCTTCCTGGTTGCATTATGGGTGCATGCTCAGTAGGTCCAAGATGGCGGTGGTGTTCATCATTGTCACACCAGGAGGGTCATTGTAGCAGTCACCTTGAAGCTTTTTGCGCAAGTGGGAATGCCTCAAGGAGTCTTAAGGTTAATCTGTTACTTAATTTTTATAATTACAGTAAACAAGCCTTGGGAAGAGTTTTGCAACTCAGTAAATATCTGTTTCCTCTCTTATCTCAGTCTGTTTTATCAGGGCAGGCCATGGGGTAATCATTTGCCCTGGGGGTCTCTTGACTGAGGAGTGGAAAAGTAACAAAGTGTCCTCTGCAGGGAAAATGGAGTCAGTTTGGTTCACAGGTCTAGCCTTATTCTGTTTCACTCTGACCATCTTATCACATATTATTTTTTTATTCTGTTTTGAAATTTGCATATAGTGGCAATAAATATGATTACATATGTGAACTCTTCTGAACAATATCTAAAGAAGATAAGTTTATTAATCTACTATTAATTGGGGTAAATGTTGCAGGTCAGATAAACAGCACCAATTTATCTAGTTTTAAATCTTATATTTTGGAGGTGACTCTAGCTCTGGTGAGTAATGTTGTACAATTTGTTTATTTTCAAAATGAATTAGCTTTATTTTGTTTTTATATCAAAGTTATATTTACTTATTATGAAAAATATAGACAATATGGGAAACAGTGAATAGGAAAGTAAAAAAATCAGTGTTCTATAATTTAAAATTTGAAAAGAAATGCTTCATTATGTTTAGTTTTAATTGTACTTAAACATTTTCAACCCCAAATCAAATAAATATTAACACCTTGGCACTGAGAGATGAGATTTAAAAATGCCTTTAACAGTAGTTCAGCAGTAGTTTAGGCGTTTTGGCTAGGCTGAAGTAAGCATCTAGGAACTGTAGCACCAGAGAGTATATTTTAGTGCTTTTTTTTTCCCTGTGATAATGTCATGATGAAGTGTGTATGCTAAACCATAGTAAAATAGTTGCATTTAGATTCAGAGATTTTTTTTCAATGTTTGCTTCTTATTACTTGTTCAAAAATTTCAGTTGGCGTTACATTATGTACCAAAAAAATATTTAGTGTAGAATGATTTCAAAAACAAGTAATGGACTTCCAATTTCAGCTCTGACATATAGAAATTGAAATTTGTCACTCATATTCTCACAATAAGAGAAAAGCTGAACAAACTGGGGAAAACCAAATAAAACGGGGGAGAGAAAATCAAGTACAGAAGAGAAAACTGAAACCTCTGGCACCTACAGCTAGGTCCTAGCCACGTTAACATAAAGTATCACACTAAAGTACTACTTATCCCAGTTCCTATTACCTGATATATCACGTGCAATTTTAAGCAAAAAAAATTACAAGGCATTGTAAAAGGCAAGGAAAAACAGTCTGAGGAGACAAAGCAAGCATTAGAACCAGACTCAATTAAGTGCTTGTTACCGATTTTGGAATTATCAGAAAGGGAATTTAAAATAACTATGATTAATACGCTGAGGACTCTAGTGGAAAGTATAGCATGCAAGAACAGATGGGTAATGCAAGAAGAGAGAGAATCAAAAGAAAATTCTAGAAATGAAAAACACTAACAAAATGAGAAATGCCTTTGATGGGCTCACCAGTATCGTCGGACACAGCTGGAAAAGAATCAATGAGCTTGAAAACAGGTTGATAGAATGTTCCCAAACTGATATACAAAGGGAAAAAATAAATAAATAAATAAACAAACAGATAAATAAATAAATAATGGACCATCCAAGAACTGTGGGACAATTTCTAAAGATGTAACATATGTATACTTGAAATAACAGAATGAGAAGATAGAATGGAGAAGTAGTTGTTGAAGTATTTAATGCTGGCCAACAAGGTCCAGGAAGCTCAGAAAACAGTAAGCAAGGAAAATACTAAAAATCGACACCTAGGTTTATCATATTTAATTTGCAGAAAATGTTGAAAAAAGGAAGAGGAAAAAATACCTTGACTATAGAAGAACAAAGATGAAAATTACAGGAAACTTCTCAGAAATCATTCAGACAAGAAGAGAATGGAGTGAAATATTTAGTGTTGAAAGAAATATACCACCAACCTAGAATTCTGTATCTGGTGAAATTATCCTTCGAAAGTAAAGGAGAAATAAAGCCTCCTTCAGACAAACAAAAACTCAGGAAATTCATTGCCATAGACCTGTCTTGCAAGAAATATTAACAGAAGTTATTTAGGGAAAAGGTAAATGATAAAGGTCAGAAACTCAAATCTATATAAAGAAAGGAAAAGCATGGGAGAAGGAATAAATTAAGGTTAAAAAATAAAAAAAGATTTATTTTATTCCCAGTGATCTGAT